TGAAGTCAGCGCCACCCTGAAGTCGGCGCCCGTGCAGTGGCCCTTGTGCAGGTCGACCTCCTCGTCAACCAGCTCGCCCACTGCTGCCGGTCGGCTGCTCCCCTCACACCCGACCACGAAGTCGGCTCTGCCCAATCAAGGACGGGGCCAACACACAACTCCCGTTGAAAAGAAGAAGGCTTACCTGGAGGTGCAGAGGAAGGCGTAAGAGGAGGAGAAGAGGAAGGCCCGTATAGAGGCGCAGAAGAAGGCGGGGGAGGAGGAGAAGAAGAAGGCTGACCTAGATGCACAGAGGAAGGCAAAAGAGGAGGAGAAGAGGAAGGCAGATGCAGAGGCGCAGAAGAAGGCGGAAGAGGGGGAGAAGAAGAAGCCTGGCCTGAAGGTGCTGAGGAAGGCGGAAGAGGAGGAGAAGGAGAAGGCCCTTGCTGCAGCGCAGAAGAAGGCGGAGGACGAGTGCGAAGAGTCACTCGACAAAGGTAGTGAGCTAGACTACGGTGGGTAGGCACGAACTACTAAGAGTGACCGTAGCTTTGCTTGCGTTCCTTAGCTCTTGCGCATTCACGGGAGAAGTTGGCAAGAGTTTCACTAGCAAAGTTGGAATTACTGAATAGGTAGAACAAGTAATGACAACAATGACTAGATTAGGAACCTAGCAACTCTGCAGCTAGCCTGGTCGACCGCCAACACAGCTTGGTCGATCGCCTGCCAGCGTTGCGTAGAGGAGCTGCGCCAGCACTGCAGAAATGCAACCTGCCAATAGAGCATGTTGAGTACTGCAGCTGAGCGGCTGTCCAGCGTTGCCCCATAGAAGGCAGCAATGCGCGCAGACGAATGACCCGACTTGCATCATTGTGCATCCGTCGGCTGTTGTCTGCGCCTGACGAGCCACATCGACTTTGGGATACCAGCCTGAAGTCGCTGCGGAGATAACTACTATGACGGGAGCTAGACTACGGGCTAGGCACGGGTGCTCGTGTGATCTCTGCGTTCGTTGGTCCTTAGTCGTTTTCCTAGTGCACACACAGCTTGCTAGTTCACAGGGAGAATTGGCAAGAGTTTCACTAGAGAAAGTTGACAATAATGGTTCAGAATGATTGCATCAACATTGGCAACACAGACTACATCAGACCTAGCAAGGCTGTTGGTCGACTGCCAGCGCAGCACGGTCGACCGCGTGCCAGCACGACTTGGTCGACCGCGCTCCAGCAGAGCAGAGTCGCGGCTTGCCAACGTTGCAAGTCCATGGTGTGCCAACGCTGCAGTAAGTCGGCAACACAGCGTTGCACCCGCCTGACAATGGTGCACCAGCTTCGCAGGTGCGTGCAGCTGGTTGGCGCCCAACTCCCCGTCACATGCCCAGCGCAGACACTCCACTCGTGACGGCGCCCACCAGCCACGTCGACCTCAAGATACCACCCTCGAGGTCGTACTCGCAGAAAACACCCCCGGCGATCTTTCGCGCACGTCGCCCGGGTTTCCTGGTTGACCAGGTATTTCGCGGTCCTCCCGCGGTTTCGCGGCTCCCACAGTCCTCCGCGGTTTTGCGGCTCCTACGGTCCTCCGTGGTATCGCGGCTCCCGCGGTTTCGCGGCCACCGCGGTCCTCCCGTGGTTTCGCGGCCACCGCGGTCCTCCCGCGATTTCGCGGCCCCCGCAGTAGGCTCCGCCCAAGCGAGGACGGGGCCAAACCCTACTCCCGTTGACACTCCCCTGCCGCGTTCACGCTTGCCCCCCCCCCCCCCCCGCGGCCCATACGGCAGTACTGCTCGGAGAATAGCCCGTCGGCGTGCACACAACGCACAGCACGCCGGTCACCGCACCAGCCATGAAGAAGGGCATGGCACCTACTGTTGCACGTCGTTGTCACCGTCGCCCATATCAGCCAGGCGCACTTGGCCGATTGCAACGGAGCACCGGTTGAAGGCCGCGTAGTGCAGCGCCTTCGTTAGGAAGTCGGCCGGCTGCTCAGCGGTCGGGATGTACTTCAGTGAAAACTTCCCGCGCTTCACCATGTGCTGCAGCTAGGCCTGTCGCCGCTCCATGTGCTTGAGGTTGCCCGTCAACCCCATGCCCTCGGCGACTGTGATGGCCGACTTGTTGTCCACCCGGAGGACGGTCGGCTTCCCGGCATCCACCTGCCGGAACTCTGCGAGGAGGAAGCGAAGTTGACGTCCCTCCTTTCCGGCTTCCGTGGCCGCCAAATACTCCGACTCAGTCGACGACAACGTCGCGCACTTGATGCGCTCGTTCGACCAGGAGACTGCGGCCCCTCCGTAGATGAACGCGTAGCCGCCCGTGCTCGTCCTGTCCTGCTTGTCACCAGCGTTGTCGGCGTCTACGTAGCCAACCAGCTCGAGCGACTCAGGTCCACCGCCGAACTCCAAGGCGGTGCCACGCGTGTTGGCGAGGTAGGCAAGGCAGCGGTCGACCTCGCGCCAGTGCTGGTCGCTCCTCACCGTGAGGCCGCTCCCCAGCTTTCTGCGGGCGAAGGCGATGTCCGGCCTTATCGTCGTCGCCGCGAACTGCAGCGAGCCGACCTTCTGCCGGTACTCCTCCTCCTATCGCTCCTGCGCCTCCTCGTCGTCGAAGGTGAGCTCGGCGTAGGCGCCGACCGAAACCGGCGTCTTCGGGGTGCGCCGGGTCTGCTCGTCGTCGATGAAACGCCTACGCAGCTTGTCGGCGTAGCCCTGCTGGTGCAGCCACAGCTTCCTCGCCGACCTGTCGTGCACGATCTCCAGCTCGAGGTACTTCCGCACCGGGGAGATCTCCCGCAGCTCGAAGGCGGACGCCAGCAGCTCCTTCAGCATTTCGGTGCTACTGCTGGCGGCAAGAAAGTCGTCGACGTAGACCAACACCCAGCAGGCCACTCCGTCCTCGTCGACCTTGAAGTACAGAGCCTCGTCGACCTGGCTCTTCTTCCACCCGGCACCGACCAGCACGTCGTTGAGCGCCAAGTACCACAGCAGCGGCGACTGCTTCAGCCCGTATAGGCTCTTCAGCAGCTTGCACACCCGGCCGGTTCCGTCGTTGAAGTAGTCCAGCTGGGACATGTAGAGCACCCGGTCGAGCTTGCTCTGCAAGAAGGCGTTCTTCATGTCGAGCTGCATCAGGTTGAGGTTGAGGACGGCGACGATGCTGAGGAAGATCCTCAGCGTGATGTAGCTGCCCACCGGCGCGAACGTCTCGTCGTAGTCGTCGCCGTATACCTGCATGAAGCCCTTCACGACCAGCCTCGCCTTCTCGCGCTCGACGGTGTCGTCGACGTGGTACTTCGTCGTCAACACCCACCGGTTCTTCATGATGTTGACCCCCGGCGGGCGTTCGACCACCTCCCATGTGCCCATGTTGATGAGGCTGCGGATCTCCTCCTCCATGGCGGCCTTCACCGCCGGGCCCTTCCAGCTCGCCAAAGCCTCCTTCGCCGTCATGGTCGAGATGTCCCAACGGTGTTCGGGGTCGGCCAGCATGTCGGGGTCGAGCTCCGGAAACTCCTCATCCTCCTTGGCGTCGTCGTACAGCAGGTCGTCGTCATCGTCCACGTCGTACACCGTGGTGAAGGCAGCGGGGACAAAGAAGTCCGGCGGCCTCGGAACTCTGTCCGACTTCCGGGGTTCCGGCCGAACCTCCACCACGTCTCTCTTGGTGGACTCCCCGGCGTCCCCTTCTTCGTCACCGTCTTCACTGCCCTCATCGTTCTGCTGCACCTCGGTCGACGTCCTGGCTGACCTCTCCCCTGTGGTCGGCTCCCCTGCCGACTGCCTGGTTGCCGACTGCTCCGTTGTCGGCGTCACTGCTGCCTGCTCCCCTGTCAGCTGCTGCTCCTCGACCTGCTCCTCCCCTATCGACGTCGACTTCAATCCCACGTTGACCTGTCAGTCGTCACGTCGGCCACCGGCGATGCCCTTGGCTGGCGCCGAAGGCGACGTCCCACTACTCCCCTCATCGCCGGAGGCCGACATAGGAGTCTGCCCGTGCCGGTCGGCCACGAGGGGAGGGGCGGGGGTCTTAGGAAAAGGGGAAGGAGGACGGACGACCTCGGTGTCCTCAGCAGCAAGCTCACCGACTTCGGCAAGCAGAGTCAGCGTCGCCGTCGAGGTATCGGTCGGCGGGGTGGTTGGCGTCAGACCTGACATCGGCCCGTGCTCCGACTTCCACACCTGCAGTGACATATCCTCGTAGAACACCACGTCCGACGTGGTGACCACCCGGTTGAGGAGCTCCCAACTCCCCGTCACATGCCCAGCACAGACACTCCACTCGTGATGGCGCCCACCAGCCACGTCGACCTCGGGATACCACCCCCGAAGTCGTACTCGCAGAAAACACCCCCAGCGACTTTCGCGCACGTCGCCCAGGTTTCCTGGTTGACCGGGTATTTTGCGGTCCTCCCGCGGTTTCGCAGCTCCCACGGTCCTCCGCGGTTTCGCAGCTCCCACGGTCCTCCGTGGTATCGCGGCTCCCGCGGTCCTCCCGCGATTTCGCGGCCACCGTGGTCCTCCCGCGATTTCGCGGCCACCGCGGTCCTCCCGCGGTTTCGCGGCCACCGCGGTCCTCCCGCGGTTTCGCGGCCACCGCGGTCCTCCCGCGATTTCGCGGCCCCCGCAGTAGGCTCTGCCCAAGCGAGGACGGGATCAAACCCTACTCCCGTTGTCAGTCGCCTTTGCCATCGTGACCTCGACGACGTTCGCGTGCCTCCGCAAAACTCGTCAAGCAGGTTACCCTGTCGACTTGGTCGACCACCAATTGCTCTGGTCGACCACCGGGTCCCTCTGGTCGACCACAGCTCCCGTCGAGCTACCCCCTGGTCGATGGACCCCTTCCATCGACCAGAACAATCAGATGTTGTCGCCGAGCTCCCCTCGTCAACCGCTGCTCACTTGTCAGGTCGACGGACTGCTCCGTCGGCCTCCCGGTCGACGATGCCCCAGACATGCTACTCGTTAGTTCCGCATGCTCATGCATGCTCCGCGAACACTGTGTGTGTGGCTTACACGTGGTGGCATGCTGTTTCGTTGGATGTGGCATCTGGGTGGCATGTGGGTGGCATGCGGGTGGCATGTAGGCGGCATGTGGGTGGCATCTGGGCGGCATATGGGTGGCATGTGGGCGGCATGTTGGCGACATGTGGACGGCATGTGGGCGGCATGTGGGCGGCGTGTGGGCGGCATGGGCGGCATGCGGGCGGCATGTGTGGGCAGCATACGGGTGGCACGTGGGTGGCAGGTGAATGGCACGTGAATGGCATATGAATGGCATGTGGATGGCATGTGAATGGCATGTGAATGGCATGTGGATGGCATGTAAATGGCATGTGAATGGCATGTGAATGGCATGTCAATGGCATGTGAATGACATGTGGCAGGAGAAGAAGCTGCTAGTGGAGATCAAGAAGACTACCAAGACGGGTAATGAGGTGGGAGTGGTAACCAGACGGGACTGGTGTGAGTGTAACCAGAGACTAGTAACCATGACAACCAGGTGGGGCTAGTAACCAGGTGGGGTTGGTAACCAGGTGGGACTGGTAACCAGGTGGGGCTGGTAACCAGGTGGGCATGGAAAGCAGGTGAGATTGGAACTGGCATCACTGATGCTTGCCGTATTGCATTGTATCGCTAATGTAGTGTCTTTTGAGGTGCCTCAAAATAGCTTTTGAGGCGACTTTTGAGTGCCTGAAAAGTCATTAATGCTAAAAAATGCTTAAAAATGCTTGTCGTATCGTATTGCGTCACTAATGTAGTGCTAATGAGGTAAGACTACTAGGAGGTGTTCCTAGGAGGCGCTCATGTGTTTTTGTCTTTTTTATTTGCATGTCATGTGCTCATCTTGCCATCGCTAGTGCATGCCATGCTGCTTCATTTTTAATGTGACAGGGCATCCTGTCCCATCCCATCCCATCCCATCCCGTCCCATCCCATCCCATCCCATCCCATCCCATCCCGTCCCATCCCATCCCATCCCATCCCGTCATGTCCCATCCCATCCCATCCCATCCCATCCCATCTCATCCCAACCCAACCCATCCCATCCCATCCCATCCCATCTCATCCCATCCCATCCCATCCCATCCCATCCCATACCATCACATACCATCCCATCCCATCCCATCCGATCCCATCCCATACCATCCCATCCGATCCCATCTCATACCATCCCATCCCATCCCTCCACACGTTTCCCGACTGCCACGCCGTGGCTCGGGTGTTGGCGAGGGAGCTGGTGCGGGTGAGATAAGGCACACATCTTGAAACCAAGAGACAGATGTGCTGTGATGCTATCGTTCGTCTCCCCATGCCCGTGGTAGAGCTGTCCCCCATGCTAGTGCATCTCTTACCTCCCATATGCCTACCAAGCAGCAGCGCGCGTGTTGGCGAGCAGGGGCTAGAGAGACAGGTGGCTAATCTACAGGCAGAGGTGAGACTAGTGGGCGGCAGGTGAGACTAGTGGGAGGCAGTGGAGACTAGTGGGCGGCAGGTGAGACTAGTGGGCGGCAGTGGAGACTAGTGGGTGGCAGGTGAGACTAAGGGGAGGCAGTGGAGAATAGTGGTCGGCAATGGAGACTAGTGGGCGGCAGGTGAGACTAGTGGGAAGCAGTGGAGACTAGTGGGCGGCAGGTGAGACTCGTGGGCGGCAGGTGAGACTAGTGGGCGGCAGTGGAGACTAGTGGGCGGCAGGTGAGATTAGTGGGCGACAGGTAAGACCAGTGGGCGGCAGAGGAGACTAGTGGGCGGCAGTGGAGACTAGTTAATGGGCGGCAAGTGAGACTAGTGGGCGGCAGGGGAGATCAGTGGGCGGCAAGGGAGACCAGTGGGCGGCAGGGGAGACCAGTGGGCGGCATGTGTTTCACACGTTTTTCAAGATGCCCCAGGCATGCTACTCGTCAGTTCCGCATGCTCATGCATGCTCCACGAACACTGTGTGTGTGGCTTACACGTAGTGGCATGCTGTTTCTTTGGATGTGGCATCTCGGTGGCATGCTGGTGGCATGTGGGCGGCATGTGGGCGGCATGTGGGCGGCATGTGGGCGGCATGTGGGTGGCATGTGGGAGGCATGCGGGGGGCATGTGGGCAGCATGTGAGCGGCATGTGGCAGGAGAAGAAGCTGTTGGTGGAGATCAAGAAGACAGCAAAGACTGGTAACCATGTGGGAGTTGGTAACCAGGTGGGAGTGGTAACCAAGTGGGAGTGGTAACTAGGTGGGAGTGGTAACTAGGTGGGAGTGGTAACCAGGTGGGAGTGGTAACCAGGTGGAAGTGGTAACCAGGTGGGAGTGGTAACCAGGTGTGAGTGGTAACCGGGTGGGAGTGGTAACCAGGTGGGAGTGGTAACTAGGTGGGAGTGGTAACCAGGTGGGCGTGGTAACCAGGTGGGGCTGGGCGGTAGGGACAGGCTTCACTAATGCATGCCATATTGCCATCCGTAATGCATGTCAAATTGCCACGTGTGCATGTCATCTTGCCTCACCACACATGTGGTGATGTCGATGAGAGGGCACAATAGGAGCCATGTGTGTTGCCAGGCAGCAGCACGCATGTTGACACGGGAACTGGTGCGAGTGAGGGTGGAGATCAATAGAGGGATATGATTGGTTTGTTCCCCATGTGCTTGTACCCATCTCCATGCATTTCTCGCCTGCCAGGCAGCAGTGCGCGTGTTGGCACGGGAAACTGGTGAGGGTGAGAGCGCAGATAGCCAAGATGCACTAGTCCAAGGCGCAAAGTCGAGGCATCAGCACGCATGCACAAGTGAGGGAATGAATGGATGGGTTACTGTTGTTGTTGCTGCTGCTGCTCCTGTTGCTGCAAGTCCAAGGCTTAGATTTGCGGCATCAGCACACATGCGCAGGTGAGAAGATGACTTGATGACTCCTCTTCTTCATGTGTTTTACTTTCTGGTTTGTATGATTCATGTGAGGATCTAGGATCGAGCTAAGAAAAGTAAGTTTGAATTGAATGATCACCTGGGTACAACACGAGGCTATATATAGACTCGACACAAGGCCCAGTAACCAGGTGTTACGCGAAGGTTCTGAGGGTCGCAAAGCGTCCCGAACAGACCCTTCCCGAATTCAGTAGAAGGCGACTCTGTGGCAACCGAAAAGCCCAGAATTCGGTGCACGCAACCTAGCTCGGTGCTATAACTATAATAAAATATAGGAATGCACCTAACCTAGGAAATCAAGCATATCTATGCATGATAAATAAAACCCAAGCTATAAATAGCATAATAAAGTTCAGGCGAGCTAGCAAAGCCAACATAAGCCGTCGTACTCTCACACGTCCCCCCCTCAAAGCTGGGTGGTCTGAGATACACCTTGCTTGACAAGATAATCTTTGAGAGCACGGCGTGCGTTGCTCATATCAGCTTCTGCAACCCAACTGTCCTCAGTGGGGTCATATCTCTTCCAGCGTATCAGAAACTCGAGGGTCTTGTCGCTGCGGCACCGATGAGTGAGAACCTGCTCCACTTCATACTCTGGTTCATCCTGTACGAGAACAGGTGGTGGTGGTGGTGGTAGCTGTCATCCCTGGAACTGTTGGTTGGGGTCCTTGTAGGGTTTCAGTAGCTGAACATGGAAACCATTGTGACGCTTCCAAGTAGTAGGTAAGCGTAAGCAAAATGTTACTAGTGTCACCATTGCCTCAATGCGAAAGGGACCACAGAAGCGAGGCTGGAGTTGGATGGGAGGTGAGACAGGTTCAAGTTGCGCGTGTCGAGAAGTACCTGATCTCCGACTGCTACTGCGTGATCACGTCGCCAGCGATCGGCATATTGCTTCTGGGAGTTCTGCATCGTGGTGAGACGTGGCTGAGTCTTCTCCCATAGCTGCTGCATGGTGGTGACAGAGTCATGTGCGGCTTGGACGTGTGCCGGTGTGGTTGGTGTCAACGGGAGCGTTGTTTGGCCCCGCCCTCGCTTGGGCGGAGCCGACCTCGTGGTCGGATGTGCGGGGATTGCAGCCGACCTGCAGCAGTGGGCACGGGGGCCACTGCAGGGGCACCGAGATGGAGGGCGCTTGGCTGGAGGGCGCCGAGCAGAAGGACGCCGTTCTGGACGCCTGGATGGCGACCTGGGAAGCTAGACGCCGACCTGGGAGTCGGCACGACTACCCGGGCGCCTGATCGACATCCTGGACGCCTGGTTGGCATCCTGGAAGGCTGGACGCCAACCTAGGCGTCTGCACGGCGTCCTAGGAACCTGGGACGCCTCCCTGGGCGTCTGCACGGCGTCCTGGGGGCCCGGACGCCGACCTGGGCGTCTGGTCGGCGTCCTGAGAGGCTGGACGCCACCCTGGAGGTCTGCAAGGCGTCTTGGGCGTCGAGACGCCGGACTGGGGACGCCGGGCATAGGTGGCCGGCTACGGACTGCGCTGGTTGGCCAGGCGTGGTTGCCCAGACGACCAGGATACCCGGGCGACGTGTGCGAGTGTTGTCGCGGTGGAGTCTGCGAGGCCGACCTCGGGGGTGGTATCCCGAGGTCGACGTGGCTGGTGGGCGCAGTCGCTGGCATGGAGTCTGCCAGACGTCTGCGCTGTGCTCGTGACAAGGTGTGGAGCGCCAACCAGCTGCGCGCACCTGCGAAGCATATGCACCGTTGTCCTGCGGGTGCAACGCTGTGCAACCGACTTGCTGCAGCGTTGGCACACCATGGACTTGCAACGTTGGCGCACCGCTACTCTGCAACGCAGGAGCGGTGCGAGTGCTGCTACGCTGGAGCGCGGTCGGCCGTGCTGCGCTGGAGGTCGACCAGCAGCCTAGCTAGCTCTTATGTAGTCTGTGTTGCCAATGTTGTTGCTACCATTGTTGTCAACTTTCTCTAGTGAAACTCTTGCCAATTTGCCCCGTGAACTAGCAAGGAGAGTGTGCACGAGGAAAACGACTAAGGACCAACGAACGCAGATATCACACGAGCATCTGTGCCTAGCCCGTAGTCTAGCTCCCGTTGCAGCAGTTACCTCCGTAGTTGGTTGCTGTAGTGTGAGTGGTTCCCGTCCGTAACACAGGAAGAAATGAGTTTTCCCCGTGGCCGCATGTGACGCGTTGTTGTAAGCGAACTCTAGGGTCGGTAATTGTGTGTCCCATTGGCTGACGTCGTCTTTGCAAGCTGTGCGCTGTAACTGTTCAACCACCTGATTGAGTCGCTCTGTCTGTCCGTAAGTCTGTGGATGGTATGCTGAGGACATCACAAGTTTAGTCCCCAATTATCCCATGAGCCTTCCAGATATTACTCATAAATTTGGGCTCTCTATCTAAGATAAGTGTAGCGAGTATGCCGTGGATGGTGATGATGCGGTCGAAGAAGAGGCGAGCAGTTGCTTCAGCTGTAGCCGTGGTGCTGGTCGGGATGAAGTGACCCATTTTAGAGAACTTGTCGATCACCACGAGTATAGCGTCATGCCCTCGTGAGGTCGAAGGAAGTCCCGTGATGAAGTCGAGGCTAACGACTTGCCATGGCTGCTCCGGTACGGGTAGAGGATGAAGTAACCCTGCTTTCTTCTGCTTACTACTCTTCATCCGCTGGCACGTGTCGCATGAGGTGACGAACTGCTGCACGTCTGCTGCCATCCCGGGCCAGTAGTAATACTTCGCTATCCCTGCTAACGTTTTGTTGCTCCCGAAATGTCCCGCGTAAGGTACGTTGTGAAACTACTCCAATAGGATCTGCCGTAGCGGGGCGTAATTCGGTACCCAGATCTAGAACACCTTCCGCAGATGCTCCACGTGCTCCTTCATGTTCTTGGAGTAGATGAGAATATCGTCTAGGTACACTACTACGCACTCGTCAAGCAGGGGCCGCAGGATATGGTTCATTTCTGCCTGGAACGTCGCTGGTGCGTTGCAGAGTCTGAACGGCATCACCAAGTATTCGTAGAAGCCGTATCTCGTACGGAACGCCGTCTTGTGGATCGAGTTGTCCGCCATCTTGATCTGCCTGTAACCTGACCGTAGGTCCAACTTCGAAAAGACTGTTGCACCACGCAGTTGGTCCAGTAGGTCGTCTATGCGCGGTATGGGGTATTTGTTTTTAACTAACTGTTTGTTCAGTGCGCGGCAGTCGATGCACATCCGTAAACTGCCGTCTAGTTTCGGAGTGAAGAGGACTGGTGCACCGTACGGAGAGGTGGATGGGCGGATCAGTTGTCTGTCCAGTAGATATTCTATCTGTTTCTTCATGTTTGTTAGCTTGGTCGGACTCAGTTTGTATGGTGCACGTGAGACGGGTTTTACACTTGGTTCCTCCACGATCTCGTGCTCGTGGGTGCGTGCTGGAGGTACGCCTGCAGGTAGGTCGTCGGGCATTATATCCTTGTACTGCTCCAAGACCTCCTTCACTGCTGCAGGTAGCTCCGTACTCAGCTTCTCCTCCTCTGGTGCTGCCATAACCAGTGCTAAGTAACCCGTGTTACTCTCGTTCACCGTCCGTTCGAATCGTGCCAGTGTTGTTTCAGGAACGCTCTTTGTATCCGTCCAGCTTCTCAGCTCCACTCTTTTCGCGTTGTTGTAGATGCACGCCTTCCTGTTGACCCAGTCGATCTCGGGGTTGAACCGCTTCAGGAAATCTCGCCCCAAGCTAAAATCCAATCCCTGGATGTTCGTAATCGGCAACATTGACTTCCACCTCAGCGCCCCTATGTGTAGCTGCAGTGATGCTTCGCCGTGGATGGGAAGTTTCGTACCGTCCACCATCGTTGCCGTGAACTTGGCCTCCTCCGAAGATTCTCCAATTTTCTCCAACGTCCCGTGGTCGCACACCGAGTGGGACGCACCACTGTCCACCAGTGCCTGGAGGCGTCACCCTTTGCAGATCACCTCGAGGAGTAGTGGTTGTTGCTGCTCCGAGTAGCCGTAAATGGTCTCGCTCTTAGGATCGTAGGGTACGTCGAATAGATCATCCCTCGGTCCTGCGCTCGAAGCTGCTGACTCCATATCAGTTTTCCACTGAGTTGAGTTAGAAGGATTTATCCGAGGCCGATTCAGCTTCGTCTTGGCCTGGAACCTTCCCCTAAGCCTTTGCAGCTATGTAGGCTTCACCTGTGGGCAATTGGGAGCCTTAACACTGTGCTGCGGGGAGAGAATATTAACTCCTTGGAACGCACGACCCTTTTCAACACTCCGGAGTGGTTTGCCCAACTTCTCAGGTACCTGAATGATATCTAAAGGCTTTTTCTTGGCCTTGAAATCTCCCCTGAAT